TATATATATATATATATATATATAACTAAACGAACTTTATGGTTGCACGGCAGTGAAGCATCAGTGCCAACACTGATGTTTCTGTCATTGATGATGATGATGATGAAGCAGAATTGGTCGCTTGCTTTTCTCAGACGGGAACGAAATGTGTAACAGATGCGGTCACGCCCTCTTCTATAGAAAATTATATCTCGTCTGATATTTGCAAAGTTCATCCAACCCTGAAAGCCAATTACACTGCTTTCCTTATTAAGTAATCTCCAAACAGGCGACAATCCCTTGAAGAAAGCTATTTTAGCGGCCAGTAAAATTGCAACTTTCAACCGATATCTGTAAAACGTTAGTTTTCAAACCATTTGAAAAAGTTCAGCGGTTAAAGCACTGGTCCACTGACCGAATAGTCAGTGGTACGAAGCCAAGTCTGACTTTCCGATTGTTTGTCTAGGTTTGGGCAGACTGGCAGTATCTCAACCCGAGTATTGTTTTATCACTGGGTTGAGTGTATGACCTGAGCAAGATTTTGTAACCTTGTTTCAGTCGGGGAAAAGTTCATCCATCGCCCAATGTCTACAGCGCGTGTGTGGATATGCTTCCTGAAAATCTCACCAAGTCCTCGGCTTCCGTAACGCGTTTGTGGGTTAGTCAAACAGATCCTATAGACTGATAAATTTTTGGTACAAAAAGATTATTTGAAAAGGACTCCAATAAGCCTGTTGTTGTGATGTCCCTCAACAAATTACGCGGCCAAGGCCCAGTTGGTCTGACTCCAGATAATTCCAGATAGTGGAAGTGTCGAAGTATTGGTAGCTCGGATTCGTTTATTAGTGGTTGATCAGATTATTGTGAATCTGTTCACTAAGCTTGCAAAAGTTTCATCACCAAACGAGGAGACATTAGTGTGTGTGTGTGTGTGTGGTTGGATGTGCCAACATCGGCAGACAGCTCAACGTCCTACTGGTCAACAACCACTTCAATGTATTTTCTATCCGTAGACAACAGCACACACACAGAGGACCTATGTTAGCTGCTGCTCCGACTAAAATCCAATATTCTGCGTAAAAACTCGATTTGAGAAGATACCCTTTTCGAACATCCCATGAATGTGCAGTACCCCTTCCTCCCGAGACAGGTGATGAAGCAACCGATCCAGAAGAGTACTGCTTGACCAGCGGGGCTGCTGTATATTCGAATCGGCGGATACCTCGTCCGATTCAAGCGTCCCGTTAACGCTGGCGTTACACCGGCCGTGGACGATAGGAGTTCTGTTGAGTTGCGAATGCCTTGACGACTGATCGAACGGACAGTTTATCTTCCTGTACACGAAAATAGTTGGTCGAGTTATTTAAAAATTTTCACCAATGCTCTACATTAGCAGCTCACCTTTCGAGGATATCAAGCAGCTTTGTAGCAGCGATGTACGTGAGGCCATCCTCAGTCATAAGCATCGCGTAGGGGCTGGTTGCAGGAAGTCCAGACTCAAACACAGTGCTTGAATCCGAATCCGGGCCAGCTAATGAATTATTTGACAAGTAATTTCGCAAATTACTGATCGACTGAACCAGGCAGTGTGCAACTGAGTCATGGATCTGTTCGGGAGGGCGAAAAATGATTGATTTGAAAATCCGAAAAATGGGCAGACTGTCGTTTAACACTGGAGGCAAAAACATTTACATAACAGAAAGCACTTTCTGTGTGCGCATTTTTTTACTGAAACAGATAGGCTACTACCGCACGCCATAGTAAAACACGGTAAACACGCCTCTTCATGTTTATTCCAAAATATCATAAAACCGTCTGAGCAAAACTGTCTGGTGGGATGATGAGCAAAGTACAATGCCAGGAATAAGTCGCTAGGGTGATTGTTCTGTTTGGTCAGACAAAGAGATCACCGCTGTCACTCAAAGCCCGGATACTGTGTCTATTCAGACCCTGCCGACAAGTTCTCCTTGTTTAAACCATGAGAGGAATCCCACCACAAACATCCCAATCGCCAATGACATAAATATCGGGTCGATTCAGTTGAGCTTTGCAGCCATGAGTTTGGTCATCCCAGTGGACGCCATGTGATGGTGTAAGATAAAACTAGGGCTTAAATAAACTTATCAATGGAGATGTGAGAAGTGAATGAGTTAGGAGTCAGTACAATAAAAGAATAAATACACACCAAACCACTGTCAAGCTAAAACCGAACACTAAACGGCTTTGCGTGAATCGCGGGAACCCCAACAGGGTGAAACTCACGAGAGAGCATGGCCCGCATCTAGGTTTTAGTTTTCGTGTCAAGCTTGTGACATAATTCAATGGGAAAGCATCACTGGGTATATGAGGCACATGACTAAGCCACAATTTATGCAGTCAGTTCAACCGATCAGCTGGACAAGTGGATGCATGTATGCTGATTGTTGATACCCGTAATCCCATGTTCCAACGGTACACGTGGAATACTTCAAAGACACCGATGACCGAAACTGGCAGCCATGTTTGAAGGCCATGAAACAGCACCGCGGTGTTGTACTTATACCGGGTCGTCGCTACTACTTGTTCCTTATAAGGATTGTCGAAATGTCGGTAGCTAATGTGCGTCTACTGATTGTTCATCAGGTGGCCACTGAGCTGTTCGCCGAGTTTGGCATGCGGCTTGCAAATGTTTTCTCAATAATCGAGGAAACATCGTCATTGTGCATTCACGGTACCTCTTACACTGATCACGAGACATCTGAAAACTAACTTCCAAGTTGGGTGAAGAAATCAACAGTCACCTGAAAAGCAACCAACGCAGCGGACGTGGAGTTTTCCAACATTCAACTGTTTGGCAACGGTTCCGCTAAAAGAGATCCAACCAATTAACCAAACGGACTCAGTGATGACCCTCCTAGTTATGCCACGTCGTTTGGCACTCTACCGGTGAGAAATACACTCCCCACTACCTATGGAGCAGCTCTCGGTGTGCTCCTAGTGCCCGATGCATAGCGCTGATCACAACAAGCCGATGCTTCAGTTATGTGTGGGACCATACGGCCAATGCAACCAACCTGATAGTGTCCAGTGCCTGATTAAAGGTAGCCATCTGTTAACAGCAAAAAAACACCGGTCACATCCAGTAGATAGACAGGGTATGGTTGTAACGTTTTGTTATACAGCGCTGTTAAATAAGCATACACCATAAATTCGCGATGACACCCGGTAGTGACCACTTTTTCAGTCCATAGTGCTATCTGTCATGTTACATCGTTCTGATATCCTAACGTCAATCAAGTGATTGGGTTACTGAAACGTTTTTCCCCAAAAGTCATCATCATTATTGTCGGCTGTAATAACCCCGTTACTGGTCGTACAGTGGCTATAGCTGCCACAGTTTCGTTAACCGATTATTCGGGGAGGTAGGATAGGTAGCTGCGCATCGGAGGCGGGAGATGATAAATTAGTGCATAAATCCAGCACTGTCAGTGAACTGTCAAGAGGGGGGTTGGGAAGGCAGCTTGGGTGCATGAGCGTCATTGAAGGCGCGACCATGCGCGACAATGTTTCTAACCATTGATATGGCCCGTCTCGGGGTCTCCACCCAGGAAGACGGCAATGACCAGCGCAGCTGAGTTTGCTGGTAATGACTTTTATCCTTCGCTGCCGGCTCTCTTCCACTCCGCACGTAGTTGTGCAAAAAGAGCCCTTCGAGGAAGTCGGTCGACTGGCATACGCAGCACGTGGCCAAGCCAGCGCAACCTGTGCAGTGTGATCCGTTCATCTATCGAGGGTGAGTTATTTCTCCCAAATACCATTCGACGTACTTCAGAATTACTGATCCGGTGTTCCCACCAGATTCGGGCAATGCTCCGAAGACATCGATGCTCAAACACTGGAAACCTTTTGACGTCCCCGGCGCTCAGCGTCCAGGTTTCTGATCCATATATTAATATGGAACGTACCGCAGCACTGTAAACTCGACCCTTGACAGAGAAGCTGATGTCACGTCTACACCACAAATGATGCAGGTTCACAAAAGCTTCGCCGTCCTTCCCAATCGGGATGAAAATATTGTCTTTCGCGAGACCGCCGGGACTGATACAGCTGTCCAGGTAAACATATTTGTCTACTACCTCAATCGGTTCATCCGCAGGCATGAGGCTAGGGTTCGAGCCCACCCAGTCTTGCAGTAGCACTTTACACTTCGCAGGTGCGAAGCGTATGCCAAACCGTGAGGCAGAATTATTTAGATTATTTGATTTAATACCGTTTGCATTACCAAGGGGTAAAATCCGAGAAGAGTTATGTCGTCTGCGTACTCGATATCTGTGAGCGGACGCCCCGTGAGCACCTCGACTCCGCAAGCATTAGAGTCTGGTAGTGAGTCTTCCATGATTGCATCAATGACGGAGTTGAAGAGGAAAAATGAAAGAGGACATCCCTGTCGGACACCACTTGATGTGGTGAACTCAGGCGGGAGCTTCTGTAGAACTTGGAAGTTGGACTGGGGAGAGGTCTACAGCATCAGTTCGCCGGCTAACCCCTGATGTAATCAGAAAAGTTTGGTTTCGTCTCACCTCTTCGGAAGAAAGATCCAAGTGTCAGTTAACCGTTGGATAAAAAGAGAGAGATGAAATGGAATTCAACGTAACACGGTATCTACCGCGCATGGAAAGCGAGTATATTTTATTCATGGCCTCGAGAAGTGACGGAAACGGCAGCGCAGAATAAAGACTGTCCTTGTACGACAACCTACCGGGTTTTCGTTAGTAAAATTGTCCCTCGCTAATAATGAATTGCACGACAAATTTGGAATATTGCGCCCTAGCAAAGTAGCATATCAGCCGTTGGCGACCGGAATTCGGGCTTGAGTAAGACCATGTATTGATCATGAGGAGACCATTAGGTCACAGGAACTGAGGTAGGATTAGTTTAGTTGAAAATTTAGTCCAATCTCTCGGACGATCATTCTACTGAATTCATCGATTTTCCTATTTTTAACATTCCGAGTACTCAGCAGACCGGGTTAGTCTACTGAGCCCAAACCAATGTTGGTGCACTGGTGAGTGGGTGTGGACACGCCAGCTGGTTGGCTATACTTGTCTGGCTTGTTCTAACGCGCTTCACAATGGTGACCACTCACACAGGTGTCCGTAAAACAACACTCGATCATGATTGGCCGAGCCAAGTGAAATTTCTGCCGCTTCTATTGACCTAGCGTGACCTAGCTAGCGTTACTTTCGTCGTATCGCCATACTTTGCGAGTAGGACTATGAGGTTAACTCGCAGAGTGAGAAGTGTTCCTGTATCGTTCTGCGCAGTCCAATTATTGTGTCGTAACACCGGAACGATGTATAGCCGACAATTCAGTTTCGTCCCATTTTGTGGAATTTCTTGAGGTGTAACAGTCTTAAAAATAAACACGACCGGCCTACGCGCAACAGGTAGCATAAATCAGACCGTATTCTCTACCAGTATCGTGAAATGAGGACGCGTATCAAATTTACACCAGACGAGTTCCACGGGTAGAAAAAATATCAGTTACCTGCCAGGGCTTATCGGGGGAGAAACCGTCAACCAGCCTTGTCACAAGTCCATCCGCAACAAACCACTGGAAGTGAAGAATGGAATAACACACAAGTTAGCCAAATTCACAGGAGTACCGTAATTATGAGCATGGTGGTAACGTCCACGGCCAGTAGAAATGAGACTCACCAGGGTTACACAGACAGAAGATTCTGAAATGCCATTGCGAACCCTAACACCATACCAATTATAAGGTTGACCAAAACTCTTCGACAATCTACCAAGGACTACACTCTACTTGGATTTCACCAAGTGAAGCTGATCAGTCTGAACCTGTTCTACCAAGGTCAAGTTAACCTAAGCGGAAAAGATGAGAAGTACTGTACGACTGCTTCTTCAGAACCTGGCTCTGGTTAGATGCTTGCGAAGAAAAGGTAGTTAGCAGATGATCACTGCTTCCGGTCGTGCATCCTTTGATTGGGTTGGTGATTCCAAGCAGGAACTTGCAAGATGGAACCTGAAGACCTTGCAACTGGTTACGGAATAAATGCAATCTGCTGAGAGAAAGAAAAATACCCCCAGGAAAAGCCTATTGGTCTGATAACATGGGTGAAAACACAATTTGTGTAGAACAGTCCATGAAGTTGTGGAGGTCCCGAAAAATAATCAAAAATGAGTCATGTGATGTGAACTGGTTAGAGTGTACAACGCTGCATGTTGTAATTGTGGATTATCCAACCAGATGACTAGTCACCTATAGTTGGGGTTGGGCGGTCTGTAGCTCGTGACTCCCAACTAGCGGTTGCACAAAGATTCGCGGCTCTTCAGCACAGGCAGACCCGGTCCAGCTAAATTAAACCTAAAACTGAAAGCTCTTGCTGTGGTCTTTGGTATGCGGCTGAATGACTGAGACATTCTTCTAAACGCACCTGAACTCGAGATTGCGTAACCATACCACATGACTAAGAACACGTGGGTTGGCAGCCGAAATCCGCGTTGATGGCGGAACACACCATACACGATCGACTCATCATATCCCTGGGAAACTCGTCCAAAACTATCACGACTGCAAGAGTTATCGGTTGAAAAGTTGAGATCTACCCAGTCGAATAATTACCGTTCTCCAGAAAGCAACTCACGCAGTAATAAACATTTCAACCGTGACTTAAGGTTGAAGGAAAGTCTGTGGTTCGAATTAAACCCTGCCTTCACGATGGCCCCTGTCTGTGTCAACCTAGCCAGACGCAATTCTTCGAGTAGGCAGGATAGGCTCACATGGCATCAACTGATTTCTGATCGAGAAGGCAATTCAAAATCTCCTGAAGAGGGACGCCACATCTGTGTTGGATCACCAACGGACCATGGAGTTCAGTTTTTTTGGAGCATCCGTAACACTAGGAGTGAAAAAGCTGTAAGGTAGTCTTTTGAGCATCTGGTAGCTAGCAAGGTAATTCCAAGGTGAGTAATTAGTGCCTGTTTCTTTGGATATATATAAAATTCGAAATCTGAGTCGCGAACTCTGACAGACTTTGCCAGGCTGATGCCCTAGTTCGTCATTCACAAAAATGAATCCAAGCATGTTGCCCTTGACTCACATACCCAACAAAATGCCCACCCCATTGAGATTACGGAGCGCCCTTCCTAGATCGCAAGTGAAAAAGAAGGAACCCAGCGGTTTAGGAGCATGATGGGATGTGATGGATCAGTGGCGTCTTGTGTGCATACTTCGGAGACACGTAACACATAAATTTTTGGGAAAAAAGAGTTGGATTGCTCCACAAGGAGTACAAACATTAGGCACTGTATAATCTATATTTTTCAGGGTGTGGGACTGGAAATAGACGCTGAATTTATTTTTAAAAAACCGTTCAGCTGTCGCACCCTTTCGGTGCCTAACTGCCATGCCACCTGAAGGCTGGGATACTGCCAGGTTGCCAAGCCCAGACAGGGAAAGTCAAGAGGCATAGGTCGGGTTCGAACCACGGACCTTCCGGTTTAGTAAATTCGCGCTCTAACCACTTGGGCCTTCTCGCCCAAAGTTAGAAAAGGACGGAGTTATTAGAAGGGATTATAATGATCATGGAACTAGTAAGCGAAAAAGACTGGCCACCGTTCCTACGCTGCCAAGACAGGTGTTGATTCCCGTTGCCCAGGCCGAAGAGAGGTTAGGGTATCCCACACCCAAAAAACGGCAGAATGAAGGTTTCTATTCTGGCCCTCGCTTCCGACTAAGCAATCTGACCTGCGAGATGGTGTGGTTCCATGCCTCACCAAGCGGAAACGCTCGTCACCGACAGGAAACACCTCGCTGCTTTCACATTGCTATTCCAAAGTACAGTACGACTTTCGACAAATACTCTCATTTGCAGGCCAATTCGGTTGTGACGGGAGACTCAACTGAATCCAATTGGATCTCCCAAAAAGGGTGAGTCCTGTCCTGAACTGTCGAAAACGTCTCAGCAAGCTCATGGGTAATGTGTTACGTTCTCTTGACTGCCCGCAATAGGATTACCTGTAGTACGGACGATCACGGCTCTTTGTCCAGCCTTCTTAACATTGTTGTGCTTTGGGGAATGGAGAGCCAGTCTGTGAAATAACTGCACCATTCAAACCCGACCAGGTAGCAGCCCTTGACAGGATGTGAGCTTTTCAATTAGCCAATGTCCGCCGCACTTGGAGAGCAGTGATGGTAATTCATCCGGTCCAGGGGGTTTGCAACGCTTTTGACCTTGAGTGCCTCGCATAGTGGGTCAGTAGCAATTGACCACGTCTCATGAGGGACAGCAGAGGGCGTAGATATTTATCAGCGAGGCTCATTGAGCTGTTATCGAAGCGTAAAAGTGAAATTCAGACCTGATCCGACATGCCACTTCCCTGTGGTGTCACTGAGATTGTTGTTTTAAGCCAGTATCTCTCCGGAATTTGAGTGTTGCAAGAGGCGGCTACGACTTCCATTACAGAGACTCCGTCCCATTTGAGTGACATAATAGGCTATTCTTACCTTCAGACGGACAGACAGCTGTATTCACAGGTCGGGTGGCACACGCTGCCACGCCACAAATGCTTCCAAACGACCGGTTAATATCGAGCGCCTGTTTGTGCGATTAATACATCGGCACAATAAGAGGCTGGGTTAATGCGGTGGGTGGGTATACCAGTAGAAGATGGCGTGGTCGAGGCGAATACTAGCTCATCCAACCAATTATGTACAATCAACGCGCCTAGGACAGCGCTAGATTCATTCACTAAATTTAATGACCAAAGCATGGTCAAATCTTCCTGTGTGCAGCCTTACCACCGATAACTTATCGCGATGCGAGTGACCAGTGTCCAGAAGTTCGACAAAGGTCTACCATAAGTGCCCTCCATTGTCACTGCATCTACAAGCATCAGTGTACCGACCATCTAACCCATTCTCATTCGGGCCTAGAACACAAAATCAGATATCTAAATTTGTAGCTGACCTCCCAAAGTTGCATGTCCTGTGGAAAAGAACGTCCAATGGTGTGCAGAACTCATCCTTGATTGGGTTTTGGTTACCATCAGCTGGCGAACAGTTACAACGAATAGTCTTGCCACTAGCGAATAATCACGCGCTACAGTGCACTACACAATGCACTTCGTCTTGCCGACAAGGTTTTAAAAAGCCATCGGAATTCTTACCAGACGGTACTGCTTGCTTGAAAGGAGCTGGGACAGGATACAGCAAACGAGGGTATCATCACCATCAAAGGGATTTGCTTAATGGACACCTTTGATCCCTCCAACACTTCCGCCATGTATTGGTCGGGCTTTTTCGAGAAATGCTGAAAGTGACGCCGGCACTAGCTGTGTGAAGTACACACATCTATCATGAATCTCGTAGACTAAACCACGTTTCCGCGCGAATTCGCTACTCTTTGATCTGTTTTCTGTCCTCTGGATTTGTCAGATCAGACAAAGATCAACAGTGTCGATACCCCGTCTGCCTAGCAATTGGGATTGTCTACTTCTTTTCAGACAACAAACCTTGATTTTACCACCGTTAGGAAAACGTCAACATTCGGTCTACCTGCAATATCAAAAAAAGTTCACCTACAGCGTGTGCAGCACATACCAACCACACACACACACAATTCGTTGATGTTTAGACACTTTTATCGCTGATAAGCTATGACATTTGGTTAATACCTGACTAGATAGTTCTCTGATTTCTTTTATCTGAATGAGTATATCTAGTAAGTAGTATAGGTCGAGAAAACGGCATACCTTTTAACTAGTTTGCAGCCCATTCTCATACCGAAAAAGTCCGGTTGATGGAAGTGTTGTGAGTTTAGTATAAAGCACTGTCACACATAAACATAACCCTCAGGCAGTACCGACTGCCGAAATTTAGGATCCAGGTCATACGGACACCGTTACCATCAGACGGAACGAGTTAAATATTGATGACCAAACGCTGACGCAGTACGTAAGGTGTACAATACCCAATCGGTCTGTACTACCGTACGGGTTCGATCAGTCAAAAATACAGTCAGGTGGGCGGAACACGCACGGCCGGCGTGAATATCCTGATCGTTGTGTTTCACGTGCGCGCGCCTGTTCGCGCTATTTCTTGGTCGCTGCGTCGTATAACAACGCATGTGGGACCGATTTGTCGATCAATAACGTGGGTGCGAATACGGAGGGAACAACCTACACTTTACGGAAATTCGTGAGCGTTGTCGCTGCGATGTCTTTTGTTGGTACGTTATTGAAGTCACTGAAACAGGTAACTTGGCAAACAATTAATATAACCTAAGAAGGTAGTCAAATTAAGCATAAATTGGCACACATCAAATGCTTCAAGCGAACCGCTTCTCAGAAGGTCGTCGTTTTGAAGTGCACTTCACTAAAGAAGCCTCCTCGAGAGAAACTACCCCCTTTGATGGGTTCGTGAAGGTGGTCTCCTCAGAAGTGATCGCTGTATAAGATTCACCCAGTCAGGAGAACAGTCACCCAGTCACAGAAACTGAGGTGTCGTTTGAAAGATGGATTATGCAGTAAGACCGCTGAAATCCAATCTCAGCGCCATCCATATATCTATGCGGTGGTTTTGAATAGTGTTACAGAGACAATGCAGGAAAAGTTTTCCAGTTCTCCTGAACGGAACAACTGCTGTGGTCTAAGAATGACATTGAGATTGAAAAAAAAACGAGGGAAGGGCTGAAATGCTTCACGATAAAAACGACTATATATGTATTGAAGCAATCCACGAAAACTGGTCATTAAACGCGATGGCATACCACTACTTTCGTTTTCTTCGGGGATTATCGGTCCCCGAAATGTGAAACGATCGGTACCGAACCTCAACGGCCATTTGGTCGCAGGTCATAGGTGAAAAATCAAAGAAAACAGTGGGCTGTCTTCGGATTTTGAGAGACGTATTGCTCATTTCCATAATGGAATCCGGAAGCACCACAGGTACTGAAAAAGGCAACAATGTGAGATCCGTTTCGTCCTAATTTCACCGCCCAATTCTACACGAATCACTAGTAACGTACTACTTTTGCCGGCTTATGTTCTGAACGGTATTTGGGATAAACATGTGCTTCATAAAAATTAAAATGGCTGCACAGACCGCACGACAGATTACATCGAATGAAAAATAGCGGCAAAAGGGAGACGCGAAAGAACACTTAAAAACGCTGACCTCGAGAACTAACTGCTGGGATCCACGTTCCTGTTGGGCTAACTGGAGCAACAAGTCGGGCATTGCAGTCAAATCAAAACGGGAGAGAACACGTTCCAACAGATTGGGAGAAGCCCGAAGGTAAGGGATTACCTAAACATAAAAAGGAAAACAATCTGAATGGTAGAATCAAGAGGAATGAGACAAAAAATACCGTTACTGTTAAGACTTGTGGTGAGATATGCCTCCAACTAGTATAAAAACTGGTCCATGACAAGTGGAGACTGATAGTAGCCTCGGAAGTTGACCACACTGAGGTTGCTGAGAGCTGAAATATGGAAAAGCTAAGCTGGTGTGTCCAGCGAAGCAGCAGTATAAAGAAGACATCCAAGAACGGTTGACCAAGTAAAAAATAGAAATATAAAAAACGTACCTCCTGTCCACGCTGCCCCGCCAAGTGAACCAAAACCCGTGATACGAAACTGGCCGTCAGTGGATTCAACGGAGCATCGAGTGCACCCAGCAAACGATCAAGACGTGGACGACGTTCGCAGTTGCTTGGTGTTGACGATTGCGTTTTGTGTTCCGAACTATTAGCAGATTCATTTTGGGCTATGCCATTTGATGTAGGACCACTGGAGAGTTCACCGGAGTTTTTCGGGACCGAAGTTGCTTCACGATCAGCTGCAGGAGCGGACTCACTGCCTGGTGGATCTATGACCATTGTGTCCAGTTCGGCAGTTGCCGTTGGGTCGTCCGACTGATGCGTGGAAGTGGGCTGAATCAGTGCGTCCAGCAACTGACCGATTTCACAAGTCATAATCTCACAGGCTAGGCTTGGTTCGCTTTGTGAGTGACAAAAACAGAGTGCAATATGTACGCTGGAGTTAACAGATTAGTCTGCATATTCGTCCCTCTGCTTTAATTCACTACCCAGGACATTACCAAAATCGACTGGATCAGACACAGGATAGAACCATGTGTATGTTACGATAGACTCATCAACTTCTGCTTATCACAGAAGATTTCAAAACAACACGAAAAGTGTGAATAATCTGACCCAATTACATAAGTCGAATCTGTAAAACAAAAATCGGAGATTGAGAATAACCAGTAAAGACACCGGTGTCTTCGTGACAGAGTGACGAAAATAGCCTGGATACGTTCTGCAACCGAAAACTTTGTTACACAAGAATGCGCTGGGTCGGGGCAAACAAACAGCTCACTGAATCCATTTACCCCATCTACTAGGACGTTGTCATACCAACCCGTGGTTACGGTGACACGTGGTGTTAAGCAATGCCAGATACGGTCGCATTCTTCCCATGAATATTTGGATACAGACGTGAGTGACAGCCAATGAAAGGTGGTTTAAGAATGTAGCGAAGTAAACAGTGTTGAGTGATAGGCTCACCTCTAGTGAGTCACCGGAAAACATTGACTAAAGTAACTTCTGGTTCTGGTCGCCCAAAAGCTTCTTCACGACCTAAGGCTGTGCAAAAAGAGGCGAGCATTAAACCTCCATGGATAAGTAATAAATATATGAGTAAACTGTTTATCCGTCGAGGTTCAGAGCTTTCATCTTGCTGCACAGAGTGAACTGTTTTTCAGCTTGAGCTCGCTATGAAGCCTCTTGGCGATAAAAACCTACAAAGCGAGTGCTCAAACAACAGCCCTGCTTAAGAGAACCAATATAGGTCGTTTCGTTTGCGCCGAATACTGATTTCGATTCCAGCACAGTCCCCGCTTGAACAGTAGTCCCGCACATACTTTATCGTCCACCCCAGCTTTCATAGAACGTAATATTCCATGGGAAGCCCCCGTCTACTGCGATGGTTATGGTAAACCGAGAATGAACGCAATGGTAAATTGAGAGGCCAGTATAGCTTTTGAAAATCCCTGAAAATTCGCCATAAATCTCTTGCCTTATCTTGTCCTCAGCGCCAGTCCATGTCATCAACACTGTGTCAGTCCACAGTGTGCTATGCACTAGTCACAAACAGCAATACTGAGTAAGTGAAGTGAAGAACCTTCCGGTGGTTTGTTTCTTTTAACAATAGTCACGCCTAGAAGGAATGCCCATTTGAAACTAGGCGATCGCAGTGCCAGGATAGTTGGGATTTTTCGGTTGAGCCGCTCGACAGCTGAAAACGTGATGTGGATTTCGTGATTGAGGGACGAGAAGCACTATGTCCAATCTAAACCGTTGATCGGCTGCCCTAAGCTATTGGGTGAACAACTTTCGAAAGTAGTTAGCATATGATCAACGAGTTAACCTCACAAAATGGGTTGCGGTGACCATAACAAGTCATTCTCAAGCGTAAGGACTACTGGCCTCCTCCATCTTGGCAGCAACGATTCACAGAAGACAAGCTCATGACTTGGAAATAATGCGCGAAGGCCCTGAAGAAACGCTTTGGACATGTTGTCAGCTACCGTTCCCTGTATACGGATTTCGGAGATACCGGATGATGTTATTCATGTGCCAAACTTATTGCCCCCAATGATTTATTGTCCCATAACCCTGATCTAGTTAACTGCATCGCCGTCTGCGAAACGTAACTGCCTTCGCTCTTCCCCCATCGAATGAGGCCAGTCTGCGGGAATAAGATGGAATCGGATGTCACATGAAGTGACCAACCCAGATGCAAATGAGTGGAACAGAAAGTAGAATTAATTCGATGCGATGCCCGTCAAACAAACTGTTGAGCGAATTACAGGCTAGCTTGACCGAACGCAGAAGGTCTCGGAGTAGTGCATCTCTAGTTTCAACCTTACAGCGAGAAATTTGTGCTACAGACTGATACATGGATGACGAGCTGGACTGCTGGTTGAAATTCCAGTCCATAGTAGTGGACTTCAGAACTTTTGTACACTTGATTTGAACTTGAAGGCGTCTTCTTATGCTGTTGCGTGGAAAAGTAAGAAAAGATGCGAGCAGTCAATATAACAGAGGTCTCACAACCTCGCCCACGCCATCAATAGGGGGAAGTGATCAATAAAAAACAGCAATGCTGTGAGCTTACAGGCAAACTAAAAAGCAGGTAATTTTATTCCGGCTGTTCAGTAAACAGCTCGTTTTCACATGTGCGGTTTTGACTTATAGGAAGCTAAGTGGACTCCGGGAGAATGATGTTCTGCGTTCTGCGAAAAGCATTAACAATGCAGTTAAGTTCGGCCTTCCATTCTGTCATCTAGGTCGGGTAGGTGATGGGTGATGGGAGAGCCACGTCAGTGTCGAAGCTGACTGAACGGGCTTTAATACCGCTGCAATTGAGTTTAAACGCCACGCAACAATGATACCCGTTGATGATGAACTCCTCGTTGCAATTCACTTCAGCTCCGTCTTTCGCTACCCTTTTTTTCAAAATGGTAGGAAAAATAATCTGTTAACGATCGGCAGTTACAATCATACAACGATACTTACAAGGCAGCAATAATATGCACAAAAATTCACAAAAATTCAAGCCCCAAGCTGGATCCGTGGAGTGTTGGAGACCCCACCGGGAGAGGGTCAGTGCATTACAAAATTCTCCATTTGGACTCACAAACCGGCCGCGAAGTCATCCTCATCATTATTAGCTGTAAGAACCGCATACTTTTCGTACAGTGACTGCAGCTGCAACAATTTCGTCCTCCGATGATTTGGGGAAGCAGGGTAGGTAGCTTGGAGGCCGGAGCTGATAAATTGGTGCGTAAATATAAGTCTGTCAGTGGAATTTTAAGTGGCGAGGTTGGGAAGGGAGCTGTGCATTGAAGGCAATAGCTCGGATGCAAGAGTGCCATTGAGAGTGCGACTGGGCCTTGTCTGACAATGTGCACCGTCTCGGGGTCCCCATTTAGGGAGATGGCAATGACCAGCATAGCTGAGCTTGCTGGTAATAGTTATCAAACGTCGTTGCCAAGTTATTGTTTGACCGTCCCTGGCTCGTTCCCACCATTGGTTGTTCAAAAAGAAACCTTCGAGGAAGTCGGTCGACTGCAATTTCGTCCTCCGATGATTTGGGGAAGCAGGGTAGGTAGCTTGGAGGCCGGAGCTGATAAATTGGTGCGTAAATATAAGTCTGTCAGTGGAATTTTAAGTGGCGAGGTTGGGAAGGGAGCTGTGCATTGAAGGCAATAGCTCGGATGCAAGAGTGCCATTGAGAGTGCGACTGGGCCTTGTCTGACAATGTGCACCGTCTCGGGGTCCCCATTTAGGGAGATGGCAATGACCAGCATAGCTGAGCTTGCTGGTAATAGTTATCAAACGTCGTTGCCAAGTTATTGTTTGACCGTCCCTGGCTCGTTCCCACCATTGGTTGTTCAAAAAGAAACCTTCGAGGAAGTCGGTCGACTGGCATACGCAGCACGTGGCTGAGCCAACACAAATATGCAACGTGGCCAGTTCATCTATCGTGGACGAGTTATTTCTTCCGAACACCATAAAATGTATTTCAGCATTGCTTAACCAGTGTTCCCACCAGACTCGGGCAATGGTCCGAAGACATCGGTGGTCAAACACTGAAAGCCTTTTGACGTCCTCGGCGCACAGCGGCCACGTCTCTGAGCCGTATAGCAATATGGATAGTATTACAAATTCGACCCTTGACAGATAAGCTGATGTCACGCCTACGCCAGGTTCACGCAGTTCACAAAAGCTACCCTGGCCTTCCCAATCCGCTAATTCGTCAGTTAGGTTCGAATTGCATACCAAAACATGGATAGACCTAGGAAATTCATCCGCAAAGAGTTTCAGAAACCGATTGAATTACAGGAGACAAGTTGAACGAAGTAAAAAACAGCAGTTGTGACGAAACCTACCGGTACAAGCATTTATCAAACTCCTCTGAGACACACGGTTGGCTGATCAAGTCGACCAGGTAGTCTATATTATCATCCCGACAAAGACTAGATTGTGGGGAATAAAAACTGAGTCAAATAAGGACTTACAAATCAATCAATCGTGAATCCTTCTCCCTACACTTCTGGAGGACATTGTCATCATCTAACAATTCCTGTATAGTAAGATCCTGCGAATAATTGCAAGGTAAAATCTGTAACCGAGTTCAGCATACCGGTCGACTCAAGAGATCATCGATCAGGGACTGCGCGGCAATTGAAGACCAAAACATGATGAAAGTTAAGCTGAAACGTAGAGAGAGGAAAACAGCAGAACATATTGAGGACAAAGAGATTAACTGGATAAGTATTTTTCTTGTACCTCTACGCAGATAGAACGTGATCTCGACAACCAAACTTGGATATAAGCCACAACAATGTGACTCAGAAGCACCGAACGCGGACTCGTTACCGGCTGTTCCGGCATCATCCTTTCCCCCATAACTAAACCCTCGGAATCTGTGCTGTTCTGCTTCAACTAAGCAGAAAACGTGCGTGAAAAGCCGTCGCTCTCCCACAATTTCTCCAGATCGGTTCACCTTCTATCACTCGGAACAAATATATACATTTATACATGTATCATCATCATCATCGACAGCATAACAATGTATATATACATTTATATATACATATGTGCATAGTGGTTCCTTCCGAACTCGTCCCCCCTTCTGAGTAGGGACCTTTCACTCGAAATTAACACTTTTGACCCGGTTACGCGAAATGGACAGATGAGGGAATATCAAGAAGTCCAAAAGAGATCGGAAAATTTCGAAGCTTTTGACCCCACAACAAAGATCACTGCTTTCTTATGTCGAACAGTGCGCGTATCGTTTGGCAAAGCAACTAATTTCCAATTAGCTATGGAAATACCTTCCTAATGCTGACCAATGTGCAAAAGAGTGGCCCATATCTTGTGTGAACTCGGGCAAGTCATGAGATGTACCATGCGATGAGATCAACGGTAGTTTGCGTAAACTTTTCAGTCACCTTCAAGGGTTGTGAGCTTAGTCACCCGGTAGAAGCTCGACTTAGTTACTGCCAGCCCAAATGAATGACGCACGTCCTTGAAACTAACTTCAGCATCTCGACGACTGTTCCTGTCTAAGCTTGGGAAACCTGTCATCATCCTGACCCTCGTAACTCGTTCCGTTGGCATACGAGCTAGACACCGAAACAGTGCTACAGCTGAGCGATCAATCTAAGACTTACGGCCAAAAACTAACTAGGCCGTTTATTGAATGCATCTTCTTAAATCACATGTGTCCGCAAACTTTGCACCACAGTAGTAAAGTGGGTTATTCTGACGCCAAGTATTTATCTGATCCTCGTGTTACCACGCCAATTGCGCCAAGCAGTGCTCTGGTATGAGCCAGTTTCAGACTGGTCATAAAATAGTCCGTCTTTAGGGCAAAAGAAAATCAATTCTGACAATCGAAGTGCACTAGAACTCCAAAATACCGACAAGCAAGGTCATTTTCGGTCAGTTACGGATGCGGACCAATGATTGTCGGGTGGAAGCTAATCCTTTCATCGATGGGTCAAGTTCGCCTGCACGGGTGTGATTGCCGATCATATGCTGATAGTTCATGGAATTTTTACCACTTTATTGTAGAAAATGTTATTGAGGTGCACTAGAAACGATTAAATAAACACCTTAATCAGTGAGCGACAACAACAAACTGGGTTTGGGGAAGTTGCAGTGTCAGTTCCACTTAACGATGTCACGCAAACAGATTAGGCATTTAGCCCCTAGTAACAAACCAGGTTTTTTGCCCACCATACAAGAATTATAACTCAAATTGGGGAGGGCATTGTCTGTCTGATAAGCATCTAGTGGGGTAGAGGGTCTCATTAGATTTTGGGAATTCAGTGGTTGCTTTCAGGAATCTGACCCTCCTGACAAAAATTAACACATAGGAGACCAACAGATCGGTTTCAAAGCTTCATTTGGTTACCACAAATCATCACTATCGGAGAACACGAGTGCTCCACTGCCGCACAACCATGTCAACCAATTTGGATAGACTTATAATGGGGCGGGGAGATGGACCCGGGCCTGGCCTACAACAAATATCTGAATGAATCGTCACGAAGAGACTAGACTCTACTGTGGCGTGACGGATTGTGTACATCCGCGACCCATTGGGCTATACTGGGGAATATCCCGGCCACACACAGAGTTTCTCATAACAGGTCGGTCAATGGTTACAGGTCTGACTAACACAGTTTTCTGGTTCTCCAGGTTGGGGATTGGAACATGTGCGACAACTTGTTCCGCACATGTAATGCATTTTCATATTCCGCCAAACACCGCTGCTTTGCGGCTAGGCTTTTGAGCCAAAGGTTTTGGTTGAGGACCATAATCGTCCTCCTGTCTAGATGTGGGCGCCCTGATAATATTCCAGCCCACGTACAACCATGAACTGCACATATACAAATAAACTCATCTCACATCGGTCGTCGCGTGGTGCCATCAGCCGGGTCGCCTTACTCGCTGCATACAGCAGGGCCGGTAAGCGAAAACAGGCTACCGTTGATGACCCCCTTCTTTCTCTTTCACACACTTTTCCTTCCTTTCCTCCCCACCCCATTAATAACCTCTTGTAGACCCAGCACTTATGACTGATGACTCCGTTCGTCTTGCATCGGCTTTGAGTACAGCGTCTGCTCGTCTCATGGCGCCGACATCCTTAGGTATTCTATAGAGGAGAATGTCGGTAGGTCAGGTAGCGTAGATGTACGCACAACTACGCACTGATGATGTCACCTCGATTGGTGATGAAACGTTTGCAACCAAATTGCCCAGCTCAGCGAACAAGCCAACGACCATCCTTAGGTATCTCCAAATCAAACTCCAAACCTCGACGTCCTGTCTACCTGGCTGCCTTCAATGACCGCAATTTGAAACAAAAAGAACAACAAGCTGCTATTGCACTCACATTGGGCTCGCTTGGCATTGATGTGTGCTGTCTCAGGAACAAGAATTCAAGATGCAAATACAATGGTTGAGCTAACCGTCCCATCACTCTCCACTCGCTTCCGGATACGCAATTCAGGTGTTCCGGAGACTGCTGCAACGGAATGTACAGCGGTTGGTATCGTCCTAATTTACCGGGAGTATTCTCGCTTGACTGGATACCTGTTGATAATCGTCTCTGAGCGGTTCGTCTGGCAACGTGTGTGAAGAAGACTCCCAAGCGGGAAGGTGATCGGTGTCTGCTTACGGTTCAAGTGAATGTAGCTCTGACGCCGCTAAAGACAGGTTTTACGATGCCCTGAATGCATCATCATCATCATTGTCAGCTAGCTGAACCGCGTACTCGTCGTACAGTGGTTGCAGTTGCCACAGTTTCGTTCATCGATGATTTGGGGGGTAGGTAGTTGCGCATTGCACGCGCGAGCTGGTAAATTGGTGCATAAATCCAGAACTGTCAGTGGGCTGTCAAGTGGGAGGGGTTGGGAAAGGAGCTATGCATTGAAGGCAAAAGCTTTGATGCACGAGCGCCATTGAGGGCGCGACTGGGCCATGTCTGATAATGTCTCTAGCCATTGATGTGGCCCGTCTC